CTAACCTAACCTAACCTAACCTAACCTAACCTAACCTAACCTAACCTTTTTTTTTTTTTTTTTTTTTTTTTTTTTTTTTTTTTTTCGTGGGGAAATCCTCATGGATACCTCCGGCTGCGGGGGCAACCGGAAGGTTATGCCGGACTCCTACCGGCTAAAACCCCACGGTGGTCTCCATCAGCGTATACGAGGGGTCCCGGGAGACCTAACCTAACCTAACCTAACCTAACCTAACCTAACCTAACCTAACCTAACCTAACCTAACCTAACCTAACCTAACCTAACCTAACCTAACCTAACCTAACCTAACCTAACCTCACCTAACCTAACCTAACCTAACCTAACCTAACCTAACCTAACCTAACCTAACCTAACCTAACCTAACCTAACCTAACCTTTTTTTTTTTTTTTTTTTTTTTTACATGGGGAAATGCATACGCATACCCGCCTCGCGGGGGCAAGGACGGGTTATGTCGGACTCGCACCGACTAAAACCCCATGGTGTTCCAACCTCGTCGCATATTGGCAGGGCCGCGGGAACGCTTTCGCACACTTCCGCGGCCCCACCTGCGCTGGCCGCCCCATGGCGGCCCCTCCTCGGGAGAGGACCACTCCTCCCCCATCTCCCTCTCAGGTAAGGCGCACCAGAACACATGGCGCGCCCTCCTCCTCGGCCTTCAATTTCACATGCGCAACGGACGCCCCCGTGTCCGATGCGCGAAGGCCATGGGGCCAGGAAAAACTAGCACTCAGAAGCACCAGCCTTCCTGACCCCAGCGGCGGATCTGGTCTATGGCTCCGCCGCCAACCAAGATTCGGCTGCGGAGGGTAGGGAGAGCGGCGCCTCGCAATACCGACACTCCTCTCCCCCCGCAGCCCCACCACCACCGCATCACTCAACGGTGCGGCCCCGTCTGAGTCGCGGAGGATAGGGCGAGTGGCGCATCGCCATACCAGCACGCCTCTTCCTCCGCGACTCCACCTCGGCTGCAGCGATAGAGGGAGCGGACACCCCTCTCGCAGCATCCCACCGACACACATCCGAAGTGGGCTTCCCAAGCCCACTCGGAGTGGCCACCTCGGGCCGGCCCTACACCACGGGCCAGCCAAGGGGTTCCTCTTTGTTCACCGTGGTTGACCAAGCCACGGCTACTAAGCCCCCCCGCCACGACAAGGCGGGAACCCGTTCGGGGGGGAACCTAACCTAACCTAACCTAACCTAACCTTTTTTTTTTTTTTTTTTTTTTACGGGGGGAAATCCTCATGGACTACCTCCGCCTGGGGAAAGGAGGAGGGGCGTGCCGGACTCTTACCGGCTAAAACCACCCCGGTGTCTCCTCACACGTGCGCGTGGGGCCGCGGGAATCCAAATTCTTCCGCAGCCCCACACTAGTGCTGGCCCGGTCTGTCCGGGCCTCGTCTCCTGCACGGGGTAGTGAGGTGTTAAACTACCCCGTGTATCGCCTCAGGGGCGCGCGCCGACACCCGCGCGCGCCTCCGCCTCGGGTCCATCGACTAGGGGTGGCGGGGGCTTCCCCAAGTCCCTCGCCCCTGGACCCATTTATGGGGGCCGGAAAAGGGCGTTGTCCGCCCTTCTCCTGCGCCCGGTGCGCCTTCTGCGGCCAGGGAAGGGAGTCGAGATCTCCCTTTCCCGTTCCGCAGTTTCCTTCTGCGACATCACGTCCTCGCAGAAGGACACCACTGCATCCCACGACTCTGCGCTACCGACCATCTTCCGCACTAAGGCCGGCAGCGACAGATCGCCTCCTACTTTATTTGTGAGGACACGGCGCTGCTCCTCCCAAGCTACACACTCGGCGAGCGTGTGTTGCGCCGTGTCCTCCCCGCAATGGACGCAGTGGTGGCACCGAGCGTCCGGCTCCCTGTCTATGCGGCGCAGGTACTTGCCGAAGCAGCCATGCCCCGACAGCACCTGCGTCACCCTAAACGACAGGGAGCCGTGCCTTCTCCCGAGCCAGTCGTCGAGTACTGGCCGGATCGCCTCGACGGTAGCGAGGCCGGCGGTAGGGCGCAGAAGCCTTTGCCGCCATTCCGCCACCAAGACCTGACGGAGCTCCTCTCGGCGCAGCGCGATCTGCCGCTGCACCGGTCTCGAGCCCCGTGCCCGCTCTTCCTCGCGCCATCGATATAATGACGCGAGTACTTTCGCCTCTAGGTCCCAGGGCGGGGATCCGGCCAGGACGCAAGCCGCCTCGTAGGAAATCGTGCGATACCCGCGGACGACTCTGACGGCCATCGCCCTCTGCGGTTTACGCAGAATGGCGAGAGTGCTGGCCGTCATGTCCATCGCCCACACAGGGGCCCCATACAGGGCCATGGACCGCACGATTCCCACATACAACCGCCTACAGGCGGCGCTCGGGCCCCCCAAGTTGGGAAGCAACGTTGATAGCGCGCCCGCTGCACCCATCAGCTTGGGCGCCAGCCGCCGGAAGTGGGGTCCGAATTCCCATCGGCTGTCGAGCACCAATCCCAGATACTTCATGGTGGACTCGACAGCTATCCGGGCCCCGCTGACCACGATGTGTGAACCCGGCGGCGGCGCGCGTCGAGGGCCATGGAACACCATGGCCTCCGACTTACTTAGGGAACCTAACCTAACCTAACCTAACCTAACCTAACCTAACCTAACCTAACCTAACCTTTTTTTTTTTTTTTTTTTACATGGGGAAATGCCTACGCATACCCGCCTCGCGGGGGCAAGGACGGGTTATGTCGGACTCGCACCGACTAAAACCCCATGGTGTTCCACCCTCGTCGCATATTGGCAGGGCCACGGGAACGCTTTCGCACACTTCCGCGGCCCCACCTGCGCTGGCCGCCCCATGGCGGCCCCTCCTCGGGAGAGGACTACTCCTCCCCCATCTCCTTATCAGATAAGGCGCACCAGAACACATGGCGCGCCCTCCTCCTCGGCCTCCAACTTAACATGCGCAACGGACGCCCCCGAGTCCGATGCGCGAAGGCCATGGGGCCAGGAAAAACTAGCACTTAGAAGCACCGGCCTTCCCGGCCCCAGCGGCGGATCTGGTCTATGGCTCCGCCGCCAACCAAGATTCGGCTGCGGAGGGTAGGGAGAGCGGCGCCTCGCAATACCGACACTCCTCTCCCCCCGCAGCCCCACCACCACCGCATCATTAACGGTGCGGCCCCGTCAGAGTCGCGGAGGATAGGGCGAGTGGCGCATCGCCATACCAACACTCCTCTTCCTCCGCGACTCCACCTCGGCTGCAGTGGTAGAGGGTGCGGACTCCCCTCTCACCGCAGCCCCCCGACACACATCCGAAGTGGGCTCGCCAAGCCCACTCGGAGTGGCCACCTCGGGCCGGCCCTACACCACGGGCCAGCCAAGGGGTTCCTCTTTGTTCACCGTGGGTGACCAAGCCACGGCTACTAAGCCCCCCCGCCACGACAAGGCGGGAACCCGTTCGGGGGGGAACCTAACCTAACCTAACCTAACCTAACCTAACCTAACCTCCAGGAAGCAGCTTCCCTCTTTATAGCAAAGAGAGGACAGCTCCAGTCAGTGCTGGGAGACCGAGAGGTGGAGACAAGGGCGAAACTTATTGAGTTGCCTCACCCAGCATCGTATATGGACCTGGAATTCGTGTGCCTGGTAAATGAGAACGAAATGAGTTACAATAACACCCAGAGTCTCCGAATATTTACCGACGGGAGCAAAATAGAGGGAAAGGTCGGAGCAGCACTTTCCATTTGGAATAGTGCAGCCGAGATTCGAACTCTAAGGCTTAAACTGTCGGACTATTGTACTGTTTACCAGGCTGAATTGCTGGCCATATACATGGCAACTGAGCGAGTCCTCAACAGCGCTGAAGGAAGCTTTGGGGTTTACAGTGACTCGAGATCAGCACTCGAGACCATTGTAAACCAAGACTCCCAGCATCCCCTAGCAGTAAAGACCCGCAAAAATATACATACAGTATTGGAACAACAAAAAAGTATCCAACTTTTTTGGATAAAAGCCCACGCGGGGCTTGCGGGGAACGAGCGTGCTGATGAATTGGCCAAACTCGCCGCGCTCCGGAATAAAGGTAAACCAGATTACGATCTGTGTCCGGTCTCCTACATTAAGAGCATAATTCGAAAAGCCACAATAGAAAAATGGAACCTCAGGTACGCAGAGGGTGAAACAGGTCGACTCACGAAGAAATTCCTCCAGAGTGTCCAAGATGCCTATAAAGTGACTAGGGATGCAGCACTGTCTCCATTTATGATCCAAGCGATTACGGGGCATGGCGGGTTCTCCGAGTATCTGTACCGATTCCGATGCAAGGAGAGCCCCTCATGCGTTTGTGAGCCAGGAGTTGAGGAGACAGTGCTGCATGTACTTCTTAAGTGTCCCAGATTTGGTGGACAAAGGCACGATTTTGAGACGGCGACCAAAGAAACTCTTAGAGAAGAAAATTTGTATAAAATGATGGGCACTAGAAACACTCGTAAAAAATTTATTAAATTCTGTGAAGAAATAGTTAGTATTGTGGTGAAAAATAACCGAAGTTAAGTAGGTAGTATAGTTTTTACATTTAAGTATATTTTGAATTAAGTTTTTAATTTTACAATCACAATATATAAATATAAGAATAGTAATACTAATAGTCAATATGTTAATTTATAATACAATTTAATCTATATTTTTTATTATTTTTAAATGTTATTAATTATACAAAGTTTTAGTTATATAATTTATTAATTATAGTATGTAATTATGATTTTCAAAAGTAATATGTGTTTAATGTAATATGAGCGTTGTGTCAACAAAGTGTAATGTATGGCATAAATTGCAAACGCAACATTGTCAATCGGAGCTTCCTTGTGCCTATAGCCAGTATAGTCAGAGAGAATGAACCGATACATAGAAAAAATTTGAACCGCAAGAAAAATTATCATTTAATTGAAAAGTAAACAAAAAAATTAAAGGACTCCATAATAAGTGATACACAACGACTCTGATTTACATGTCAGAGGGCTGCAGAAAAAAAAAAAAAAAAAAAAAAAAAAAAAAAAAAAAAAAAAACCTATCCTAACCTAACCTAACCTAACCTAACCTTTTTTTTTTTTTTTTTTACATGGGGAAATGCCTACGCATACCCGCCTCGCGGGGGCAAGGACGGGTTATGTCGGACTCGCACCGACTAAAACCCCATGGTGTTCCAACCTCGTCGCATATTGGCAGGGCCACGGGAACGCTTTCGCACACATCCGCGGCCCCACCTGCGCTGGCCGCCCCATGGCGGTCCCTCCTCGGGAGAGGACTACTCCTCCCCTATCTCCCTCTCAGGTAAGGCGCACCAGAACACATGGCGCGCCCTCCTCCTCGGCCTCCAATTTCACATGCGCAACGGACGCCCCCGTGTCCGATGCGCGAAGGCCATGGGGCCAGGAAAAACTAGCACTCAGTAGCACCAGCCTTCCTGACCCCAGCGGCGGATCTGGTCTATGGCTCCGCCGCCAACCAAGATTCGGCTGCGGAGGGTAGGGAGAGCGGCGCCTCGCAATACCGGCACTCCTCTCCCCCCGCAGCCCCACCACCACCGCATCAATTAACGGTGCGGCCCCGTCTGAGTCGCGGAGGATAGGGCGAGTGGCGCATCGCCATACCAACACTCCTCTTCCTCCGCGACTCTACCTCGGCTGCAGCGGTAGAGGGTGCGGACTCCCCTCTCACCGCAGCCCACCGACACACATCCGAAGTGGGCTTCCCAAGCCCACTCGGAGTGGCCACCTCGGGCCAGCCAAGGGGTTTCTCTTTGTTCACCGTGGTTGACCAAGCCACGGCTACTAAGCCCCCCCGCCACGACAAGGCGGGAACCCGTTCGGGGGGGAACCTAACCTAACCTAACCTAACCTAACCTAACCTTTTTTTTTTTTTTTTTTTTTACATGGGGAAATGCCTACGCATACCCGCCTCGCGGGGGCAAGGACGGGTTATGTCGGACTCGCACCGACTAAAACCCCATGGTGTTCCAAACTCGTCGCATATTGGCAGGGCCACGGGAACGCTTTCGCACACTTCCGCGGCCCCACCTGCGCTGGCCGCCCCATGGCGGCCCCTCCTCGGGAAAGGACCACTCCTCCCCCATTTCCCTCTCAGGTAAGGCGCACCAGAACACATGGCGCGCCCTCCTCCTCGGCCTCCAATTTCATATGCGCCACGGACGCCCCCGCGTCCGATGCGCGAAGGCCATGGGGCCAGGAAAAACTAGCACTCAGTAGCACCAGCCTTCCTGACCCCAGCGGCGGATCTGGTCTATGGCTCCGCCGCCAACCAAGATTCGGCTGCGGAAGGCAGGGAGAGCGGCGCCTTGCAATACCGGCACTCCTCTCCCCCCGCAGCCCCACCACCACCGCATCATTCAACGGTGCGGCCCCGTCTGAGTCGCGGAGGATAGGGCGAGTGGCGCATCGCCATACCAACACTCCTCTTCCTCCGCGACTCCACCTCGGCTGCAGCGGTAGAGGGTTGCGGACTCCCCTCTCACCACAGCCCCCCGACACACATCCGAAGTGGGCTTCCCAAGCCCACTCGGAGTGGCCACCTCGGGCCGGCCCTACACCTCGGGCCAGCCAAGGGGTTCCTCTTCGTTCACCGTGGTTGACCAAGCCACGGCTACTAAGCCCCCCCGCCACGACAAGGCGGGAACCCGTTCGGGGGGGAACCTAACCTAACCTAACCTAACCTAACCTAACCTTTTTTTTTTTTTTTTTTTTTTACATGGGGAAATGCCTACGCATACCCGCCTCGCGGGGGCAAGGACGGGTTATGTCGGACTCGCACCGACTAAAACCCCATGGTGTTCCACCCTCGTCGCATATTGGCAGGGCCACGGGAACGCTTTCGCACACTTCCGCGGCCCCACCTGCGCCGGCCACCCCATGGCGGCCCCTCCTCGGGAGAGGACCACTCCTCCCCCATCTCCTTCTCCGGTAAGGCGCACCAGAACACATGGCGCGCCCTCCTCCTCGGCCTCCAATTTGATACGCGCAACAGACGCCCCCGCGTCCGACGCGCGAAGGCCATGGGGCCAGGAAAAACCAGCACTAAGAAGCACCAGCCTTCCCGACCCCAGCGGCTGATCTGGTCTATGGCTCCGCCGCCAACCAAGATTCGGCTGCGGAGGGTAGGGAGAGCGGCGCCTCGCAATACCGGCACTCCTCTCCCCCCGCAGCCCCACCACCACCGCATCAATAAACGGTGCGGCCCCGTCTGAGTCGCGGAGGATAGGGCGAGTGGCGCATCGCCATACCAACACTCCTCTTCCTCCGCGACTCCACCTCGGCTGCAGCGGTAGAGGGTTGCGGACTCCCCTCTCACCACAGCCCCCCGACACACATCCGAAGTGGGCTTCCCAAGCCCACTCGGAGTGGCCACCTCGGGCCGGCCCTACACCTCGGGCCAGCCAAGGGGTTCCTCTTCGTTCACCGTGGTTGACCAAGCCACGGCTACTAAGCCCCCCCGCCACGACAAGGCGGGAACCCGTTCGGGGGGGAACCTAACCTAACCTAACCTAACCTAACCTAACCTAACCTTTTTTTTTTTTTTTTCGTGGGGAAATCCTCATGGATACCTCCGGCTGCGGGGGCAACCGGAAGGTTATGCCGGACTCCTACCGGCTAAAACCCCACGGTGCCTCCTCGCACGTGCGCGTGGGGCCGCGGGAATCCAAATTCTTCCGCAGCCCCACACTAGTGCTGGCCCGGTCTGTCCGGGCCTCGTCTCCTGCTCGGGGTAGCGAGGTGTTCAGCTACCCCTCTCCACAGCCTCCAACTCCACCTGCGTATAGGACCCCCCCGAGTCCGATACGCGGAGGCCATGGGGCCCGGAAAATCGTGCGCTTAATAGCGCCCGCTTTCCCGACCCCAGCGGCGGATCTGGTCTCGGGCTCCGCCGCCAACCAAGTTTCGGCCGCGGAGGGTAGGGAGAGCGGCGCCTCGCAATACCGACACTCCTCTCCCCCCGCGGCCCCACCACCACCGCATCAACGGTGCGGCCCCGTTTGAGTCGCGGAGGATAGGGCGAGTGGCGCATCGCCATACCAACACTCCTCTTCCTCCGCGACTCGACCTCGGCTGCAGCGGTAGAGGGTGCGGACTCCCCTCTCACCGCAGCCCACCAACACACATCCGAAGTGGGCTTCCCAAGCCCACTCGGAGTGGCCACCTCGGGCCGGCCCTACACCTCGGGCCAGCCAAGGGGTTCCTCTTCGTTCACCGTGGTTGACCAAGCCACGGCTACTAAGCCCCCCCGCCACGACAAGGCGGGAACCCCTTCGGGGGGGAACCTAACCTAACCTAACCTAACCTAACCTAACCTTTTTTTTTTTTTTTACGGGGGGAAATCCTCATGGACTACCTCCGCCTGGGGAAAGGCGGAGGGGCGTGCCGGACTCTTACCGGCTAAAACCACCCCGGTGTCTCCTCACACGTGCGCGTGGGGCCGCGGGAATCCAAATTCTTCCGCAGCCCCACACTAGTGCTGGCCCGGTCTGTCCGGGCCTCGTCTCCTGCACGGGGTAGTGAGGTGTTAAACTACCCCGTGTATCGCCTCAGGGGCGCGCGCCGACACCCGCGCGCGCCTCCGCCTCGGGTCCATCGAGTAGGGGTGGCGGGGGCTTCCCCAAGTCCCTCGCCCCTGGACCCATTTATGGGGGCCGGAAAAGGGCGTTGTCCGCCCTTCTCCTGCGCCCGGTACGCCTTCTGCGGCCAGGGAAGGGAGTCGAGATCTCCCTTTCCCGTTCCGCAGTTTCCTTCTGCGACATCACGTCCTCGCAGAAGGACACCACTGCATCCCACGACTCTGCGCTACCGACCATCTTCCGCACTAATGCCGGCAGCGACAGATCGCCTCCTACTTTATTTGTGAGGACACGGCGCTGCTCCTCCCAAGCTACACACTCGGCGAGCGTGTGTTGCGCCGTGTCCTCCCCGCAATGGACGCAGTGGTGGCACCGAGCGTCCGGCTCCCTGTCTATGCGGCGCAGGTACTTGCCGAAGCAGCCATGCCCCGACAGCACTTGCGTCACCCTAAACGACAGGGAGCCGTGCCTTCTCCCGAGCCAGTCGTCGAGTACTGGCCGGATCGCCTCGACGGTAGCGAGGCCGGCGGTAGGGCGCAGAAGCCTTTGCCGCCATTCCGCCACCAAGACCTGACGGAGCTCCTCTCGGCGCAGCGCGATCTGCCGCTGCACCGGTCTCGAGCCCCGTGCCCGCTCTTCCTCGCGCCATCGATATAATGACGCGAGTACTTTCGCCTCTAGGTCCCAGGGCGGGGATCCGGCCAGGACGCAAGCCGCCTCGTAGGAAATCGTGCGATACCCGCGGACGACTCTGACGGCCATCGCCCTCTGCGGTTTACGCAGAATGGCGAGAGTGCTGGCCGTCATGTCCATCGCCCACACAGGGGCCCCATACAGGGCCATGGACCGCACGATTCCCACGTACAACCGCCTACAGGCGGCGCTCGGGCCCCCCAAGTTGGGAAGCAACGTTGATAGCGCGCCCGCTGCACCCATCAGCTTGGGCGCCAGCCGCCGGAAGTGGGGTCCGAATTCCCATCGGCTGTCGAGCACCAATCCCAGATACTTCATGGTGGACTCGACAGCTATCCGGGCCCCGCTGACCACGATGTGTGAACCCGGCGGCGGCGCGCGTCGAGGGCCATGGAACACCATGGCCTCCGACTTACTTAGGGCCACCTCCAGGCCCAGGCGCCGGATGCGGTTCACCACTTGTGACACCGCAGCCGTGGCAACCAACGCTGCTTCCCTGTGCGAACTCCCCCGGGCAGTGACGAGCGTGTCATCCGCATAACACGTCAAGTCGGCGCCCGACGGGAGTTCACCTCTCAGCACCCAGTCGTAGCCGATGTTCCACAGGAGCGGTCCCAAGACCGATCCCTGCGGAACACCGCACGACATGACGCGCCGACCAGCACCGTCACGTCCCCAATAGGTAACGCATCTCTCCTCAAGGTAAGCCCCTATTATGCGGTGGAGGTAGGGAGGCACGCGATGGTAATTCAGTGCCTCCCGAATACAACTCCAGGGTAGGGTGTTGAAGGCGTTGGAGATGTCTAAAGACACCGCCAGCACCACCCCACCCCGGGATACTGTCTCCTCCGCCAGGGCCCTCACGCGCGTAATAGCGTCTATGGTGGAGCGCCCGCGACGAAAACCAAACTGGTTCTCGTCCAGGTCCGGCCCCTCTCTGCACAAGTGGCCGACGAGGCGATCTGCGATGATACGCTCAAGAAGTTTGCCCGCCTCGTCGAGCAGCACTATGGGCCGGTACGCGGACGGTGAGTCCGCGGGGCGCCCCTCCTTCCTGAGCAGGACCAGCCTCCCCTCCTTCCACACACTGGGAAACTGACCCTGCTCGAGACATGCCGTGAAGAGCCCTCTCAGCTGGGGCTCTAGCTCCTTCAGAGCCAGGACGAGAGCTCGACCAGGAACTCCGTCGGGTCCGGGCGCTGTGTTCTTAGCCCGGAGTCGCGACACGGCCACTCTCGTCTCTGCTTGCGTCACCTCGGGGACATCGGTGCTCTCCTCTTCTGGAGAGTCTGTGGCTGAGGGTGAAGCCATCGCCGGGGGAACGTGTCCCACTCTCTCAGGGAAGAGAGTCGATAACACCGACTCTAGCAACTGGGGTTGCATCCTTTGTGTTAGTGGAGGCGCCCAGGGACGCAACTTGCCCCGAATCCAACGGTAGGGGCGCCCCCACGGATCCCGATCTAGGGACCCCAGTAGCTCCTCCCTGGCACGCGACTTTGAGTCGCCGATGGCCAGCCACAGAGTCTCCTTAGACGCGCGGTACACCTCATACAGCGCGTCCTCCTCGGCGGAATCCCGTCGACGCCGCCTCCGGTATCGGGTGTACCGGCGACGAGCCGCAACGCACGCTATGCGCAATTGCGCGATCTCGGCGGTCCACCAGTACACCTGGCGCTTTGCGGACCGTTGGCGGACACGGGGCATTGACGCGTCGCAGATCTGCGTCATCGCCCCGCGAAACCATAGCGCCACCGCTTCGACGTCGACGGGGCCGTCCGTCGTCGACTCCCAGATCCAGGACTGAACTAGGGCAGCTTCCTCGAGTAGTTCCCTGTCGATGCGCTTAAGCGCCCAACGCGGGCCGTCGTTAATCGGGGTTGTAGGATGGCGGCCGCTCGCAGTCTGGGCAGAGACGTCGAACCGGATATATCGATGGTCCGACAGCGTCTCCACCTCTGCGGCGACACGCCAGTCGCGGACTCGGCTGGCGACAGAGGGGCTAGCAAACGAGACGTCTACTATCGACCCACCCCGCTGCCGCACGCACGTGTATTCCGAACCCCGATTCAGGACGACCAGACCAGTCGTCACCGTCCACTCTTCTAGCACCTCGCCCCGAGGGTCAGTGACCGGAGATCCCCACGCCGATGACTTGGCGTTGAGATCCCCGAGCACCAGAACGGGACGAGGGTGATAACGGCCTACGACGGCGCCCAACTCGACAAGGAAACCCTCAAAGTCGGCGAGACTCTTGTTGGGGGAGAAATACGCCCCTACAATAACGATGCCGCCCGAGACCGCAGCAACCCAGCCGCGGCCCCGAGACGGGTCGATCAGAGTCTCGCCAATAATAGCCACCAAACCGTCAGCGCATCCCAACCAGTTATCACGGGCGGGAATGAAGTACGGTTCGGCGACCACAGCCACGTGAATCGACCACTCTGCCATGCTCTGGAGTAGGAGATCCTGAGCTCTGGCACAGTGGTTGATGTTGCCCTGGAGAAAATGGAGAGAATGGAATTGTGCCATTATTGACATTCCATCCCCTCGGCAACGGTCCTGGGCCGGGAGTCGGCCGCGGAGCTGCTAGCCTGCGGGGGCAGCGAGGTTAACCCGGCAGGCTTAGTGCTCCTCTTCTTTTCTTTTTTCTTTTTGGCCTTGCTGGCAGGCGCCCCACAGGCCCCTCCGCCTACTCTGTGCTTTGCAGGCCTTCCCGCAGCAGAACAAAGGCTGCAGTTGAACGCCGCGGTGCACAGGGCCGCCTTGTGGCCAGGCTGGCCGCAGCGAAAACAGAGGTCACTACGGTCAACCTCAGCGGTGCACTTCGCCCGGACGTGCCCTTTTTCCAGGCACCGGAAGCACTGCAAAGCCCGGGGCTGTAGAAGCTTGGTTTTTGCCGCCACCCAGCCTACCAGCAATCTGCCGCTATCAGCGATCTTTTTCGCCGACGCCACAGGGCACCGAACCCAGACCATGCCGAGTCCGGAGGCGTCGGTGCGTATATCGCCAGCCCGCACCTTGTCCGGTGGACACTCTCCGCTTCTGGCAACGGCCGCCACCACCTCCTCAGAGGTCACGGAGTCGTCCAGGCCAGCAATCCGCACCTCTGCGGTTTTCATTGGTCTGGAGACCCGGACGTCCTCAGGGTTGAGGACCTCCCTCATTTTGGCGGCCAGTGCGTCCGCCTTTTCGGCACTGCTGCTCACAGTGCCAGCCACCTCGAACAGCCGTGCACCCGTGGCAGCCTGCCTGAGGGTGACGGACTGAAGGCCAAGATCTGATAATTTGATCTTGGCCTTGGCCTCAGCGATGACCGACTGGTACGTCACGCCACGCTCCACAGCTCCGGGCTGCAACGTAAGCGTCACGGCATTGGACCGCGGAACGTGCACAGTCGGTCTCTTGCGACCGCCTTTGGCAGCCCGCCGCGCAGGTTGAGGAGCCGTATTTGCGGTTCCGCCTGGGGCGCATGCAGCTGCTGCGGCCTTCTTGGCGGCTTTGCGGACCTTTTTGCGGCCCACGACTTTTGCCCAGGTCTCACCCTTAGACCCGACAGTCGTGGGCTGCTCGCTCGAAGGAGCTCCCTCCGCGGGCTTTTTGTTACCCTCCGCGGGCTTCCTCTTTTGAGGCGCAAGTCTCGGCGGCTCCTCAGTTCTCCGAGTGTCCGCCGCCAAAGGCGGACGGAGGATTTCCACCGGGAGACGCCGTGAAATCGCCTCCAGCCGAGCGTTAACCATACTTCCGCACTGGAGCATGCAGATCCGGACAATGCGCTCGACCTCTTCGTCGGTACGAGGGCTTGCCGGTCGCGGTGCGGGAGTCGGGGCCACTACAGGTGCGGCATCGGTGGACGTGCGTCGCTGCTGCTCTTCGCTCAGCGCAGCGACTTGCCGTCGGAGGTCCTCCAAGTCATTTCTGAGGCGGCTGTTTTCCTCCTGTAACTTTGCGACCTCGTCAGAGGCCGTCCTGTTGAGGAGGATGCCAACCGCCTCCCTAATATCCGCGGCAGCCTCCTTTAAGCCACGGGTGAACGTGCCTTTCAGGCTGCCAGACTTGGTGGCAACCTTCAGGACTAAGTCCACCCCATCCAGAGCCAGCTGGCTTAAGGCCACCGCAGATGGCTCTCCCCCTTCCGCCGCAAGAGCAGCTCGTCGCTCGCGAGCACGTCGGGCCATTTCCGACACTTCGTCGGCCGCGACGGCTTTACGCTGCTCCCTCTTGGCGGCATTGAGCTCCGCCTTTGAGCTCCCCAGCGAGGCACAGCTTTCACCGCCATCGCCAGGGTCCTCCGTAGTGAACCCCATGTCACTCTCTGCTTCACTAGCCGCCGAGGTATTGGAGCACACGAATCGTCCGTGCTTATCCCTCCGCGGCTGCGAAGCACTCGCCCCTCTCGATGCCTGCCGACCCCTCCCCGAAGTCGGCAACTTGGGAGCCGGCAGGCCTTCCTCTTCTGAAGACCGGCACACTGGACGTTTCCTAGCGGAAGACGTCCCACGCGACCGATTTCCACCGCTTCCAGTATCTGATACTGCCTCCTTTTCAACCTCTACGTTTTTAATATTTTTATATTTATCCATGTTTTATCCCACGAGTGTGGAGGAAATAGCAGTCCATCCGAGCAGTGCCTCCTGTGCCCGGATAAGCCTATGCGTAACCCGTCAAGGGTGTCGGCCGGTACCCCGACGGGGGCAACGCTAACGACTGAACATTTACCCATCAGCCATGCAGCTCCTCACGGCGTGCCACGCTTGAGCTTCGGGTGATTTTTTAAAGAGGTTATCATCCTCGCGACTCCAGGCGGTTAAGCCAAGAGCCCTCGGCCCCTAAGGCGCCGCGAGACGTGATCCACGACACGCCAGAGGGATTCCGAGGTTCGAATGGTGGCAGAGTCGATATGGAATCTTCCCATGCCTGCCCAGAGACCGGGTGAGGGAACACTGAGCCCATTCAATTTCCTTTTTTTTTACAGGGTGTGGTCCCTGAAAAACCCGCAATTACGGGTTGCCCGGCGTCGGCAAAAGCCGAGTGCACCTGGCACCTCACCGCGCATGTCACATTCTCTGTTCCTCTCAACGGAGAGGATACAGGAAGCAACTAGAAGGCCCTTCATTATCCCAACAAGCCCTCAGCCAGCCAGTTTTGGTCCGCGACGGTTTCCCGCTACCACTCATATCTGAGTGGCGTTCCCCTATCCGCCACCTGGGGACGCGCCCGATGGGAGTTCTGGCAACTCCACACGGGAACCTAACCTAACCTAACCTAACCTAACCTAACTTAACCTAACCTAACCTAACCTTTTTTTTTTTTTTTTTTACATGGGGAAATGCCTACGCATACCCGCCTCGCGGGGGCAAGGACGGGTTATGTCGGACTCGCACCGACTAAAACCCCATGGTGTTCCACCCTCGTCGCATATTGGCAGGGCCACGGGAACGCTTTCGCACACTTCCGCGGCCCCACCTGCGCTGGCCACTCCAAGGCGGCCCCTCCTCGGGAGAGGACTACTCCTCCCCCATCTCCCTCTCCGGCAAGGCGCACCAGAACACATGGCGCGCCCTCCTCCTCGGCCTCCAGTTTCACATGCGCAACGGACACCCCCGTGTCCGATGCGCGAAGGCCATGGGGCCAGGTAAAACTAGCACTCATTAGCACCAGCCTTCCTGACCCCAGCGGCGGATCTGGTCTATGGCTCCGCCGCCAACCAAGATTCGGCTGCGGAGGGTAGGGAGAGCGGCGCCTCGCAATACCGACACTCCTCTCCCCCCGCAGCCCCACCACCACCGCATCAATTGACGTTGCGGCCCCGTCTGAGTCGCGGAGGATAGGGCGAGTGGCGCATCGCCATACCAACACTCCTCTTCCTCCGCGACTCCACCTCGGCTGCAGCGATAGAGGGTGCGGACTCCCCTCTCACCGCAGCCCACCAACACACATCCGAAGTGGGCTCCCCAAGCCCACTCGGAGTGGCCACCTCGGGCCGGCCCTACACCTCGGGCCAGCCAAGGGGTTCCTCTTTGTTCACCGTGGTTGACCAAGCCACGGCTACTAAGCCCCCCCGCCACGACAAGGCGGGAACCCGTTCGGGGGGGAACCTAACCTAACCTAACCTAACCTAACCTAACCTAACCTTTTTTTTTTTTTTTTTTTTTTTTTACATGGGGAAATGCCTACGCATACCCGCCTCGCGGGGGCAAGGACGGGTTATGTCGGACTCGCACCGACTAAAACCCCATGGTGTTCCACCCTCGTCGCATATTGGCAGGGCCGCGGGAACGCTTTCGCACACATCCGCGGCCCCACCTGCGCTG